AGAACTCCCCCACCTTTAAATGTATTAGGAATAGCTGAGATATAGCTGGCTAAGAGTTGGTCAAAGATGCTACTTTGGATTAGTCAATATACTTATGATGTATGTCTTTGGACCGTGGGAGGGAACCGGGGAATGCACATAAAACAAATGCGAGCACGGGGAGAACATGCAAATTCAGCACGGAAATGCTGACTGGTCTGGTAAGGGGGTTAAATCAGTGGCGTTCTTCTTCTCTCTAATCAATCATGACCACGTGATCCTCTCAAAATCAGTTTATAAATAAACCGCACTTCAAGAGTTCACACTTAGCTGATGATTGCTAATAAAGCATGTTTGGCGAGAGGGGAGTTTGAGCTCAGGTAAGTCTCAAGAATTGTATTTATTATATGCATATTTTTATTTGTTTTAATAAAAACAAGCTTAGATTTGTCCATTAGGTTTCGGACCATATGGGGCATAGGACGTGTGTTTAGATATAACTTGAAACTAGAACTAACTTTAGAAATAGTTTTGATACAAATCTTTGCACTTAACAAACAAAATTATTTATGTAGGCTAATGGATGTCTTCAGTGGAGTGTACAACTCCATTTCCATAGTACACAAAGTGAAGGACTGAGTAAAAAGTAAAAGTGAAGAGAAGGAGAAAGTAAAGAGGAGGATGGATGGAGGACACATTCTTTATTCTTGTGCTGTAGATAGTCTGTTTAACCATTTTCTCGCTAGTAAAGTGTTCAGTTTTCTTCACTTAGTGAAATTTATTTATAAACTAATTTCTAAATGATCAGGTGCTCAAGATTGCTTGCGGCTGGTCCCGCATGATTCAATTTATAATTCACCAATCAGACGATTCCTAAGCCACTATAAATACCCTAAGTTCCATACAACAGTCATCTTCTTTAAAAAAAATCCCCCTTTCCACCCCTATTCCTACTCCTTTCCTAGATGGGTGGCACAGTGGCCGAGTGGTTAGCTCTGTAGCCTTACAGCAAGAATGTCACTTGTTGCTTTTGCGCCATGCGCTTTAGACTCTGTGATTAGATCGTTAAAGTAGAGCCCATAGTGTTTGTATCTGATGCTTTTAAACTATGTTATGAAAATGAGAGTGTAACTAATAACAGTGACAGTGATCAGAGGAACATGTCTGATGTGTTTGATCAACAGGACGAGTGTCATAGTTCATAATAATCTGTGTTTGTTCACTCTTGATCATGATATGAACATCAGAATAAAAGCAGCTGTTGATTGTGTCTCTTCAGCTCCTGTCATTCTGGATCCAAACACTGCTCATCCACATCTCGAACTGTCTGATGATCTGACCAGTATGAGGTACAGTGGGAAAGATCAACCTGTTCCTGATAATCCAGAGAGATTTGACAGCTATCCCTGTGTTCTGGGTTCAGTGGGTTTTACCTCAGGAAAACACTGCTGGGATGTGGAGGTCAAAGAGATTTCAGGCTGGAGTCTTGGAGTAACAACAGCATCAAAGCAGAAGAAGGGGAGTGATTTCTTTAACACTTGTGTCTGGGGTGTGCGATATAATACAGCTATTAGCTCTGGCTATACTGTAAATCAGGATCTTGAGCGTGTGAGAGTTGATCTAGACTGTGACAGAGGAACAGTGTCTTTCTCTGATCCTGTAACAAACACACATCTACACACATACACAACCACCTTCACTGAGTCTGTCTTTCCTTTCTTCTATAGTCCTATCGCTTTGAAGATCTTACCAATCAGTGGTCAGTGAAAAATCCGAATTAATAAAGAGAACAAGCCGAAATTAAATGAATGAATGAATGAGTTACACTTCATACTTATAAACCACATTACAAGGGTAAATCAAAGTTCCTGAGCCTCAGGTGACCAAAATAATGTAGTAAAATTGGCCTTAAAAATACACGCAGTGGCTCTATCACTGCAGTGTAATGTGGTGTAAATTCTGAACACTATGACTGGAAAGGTAGGAATGAACAAGACTAACTCCATCAACACGAGGTAACTGCAGCAGACACTGCAGAGATATGAGAAGTATCAGGGTGTAAAGCCCTCTCAGACAGTCTGTGACCCAAGAATAACAGCTCTGACTGTTTGAAGTGCCACTTTACCATGTTTAATTTGAGACCTGCTTCATCAGTTTATGGCAGCACAGGTTGAAAATGTATATGATGTTCCTGGAGCATTGGATCCATGACCATGGTGTCATCAAAGTAGCAATGATCTCCATACTGACCTTTAAAGAATTCTGAAGTCAGTTCATCATGTGTGCTACTAAATGCAGTATGGTTTGGACTTTTCTCATACGATGCTGCTTGGGAATGAACACTTTGGAGGTCTATTGTGGAAAACAATGTTGATCCACAGCTTTGTAAACAACTCCTGCATATGTAAAGAGGAAAGTTGTTCACTACCCCTGCCTTGTTAGGCTCATGTAATTCAACACAGAGATGAATCCCTTTCTTATTTGGCCACTAATGGGGAGACCCACACTGATGCATCTTCAATCCAGTCTTGAATATTCTGTTAAACAATCTGTAATTGCTCGGACACCTCACTAAGGACTGAGAAAGGTAACCACTACAGTTTCCGCTGCACAGGCTGAATGTCAGGCCAAACATGCACACAATGCACAAATCCTCTTGTACATTATATGCCAGAGGCCAGAGGAGAATGGCCAGACTGGTTCCAGCTGATAGAAAGGCAACAGTAGCTCAAATAACCACTCATTACAATAGAGGTCTGCAGAAGAGCATCTCTAAACGCACAACATGTACAACCTTGAGGCAGATGGGCTACAGCAGCAGCTGAAGATCACACCGGGTGCCACTCCTGTCAGCTAAGAATGAGAAACTGAGGTAGAGATCTGCGCGGGACTAAATTTTGAATCCCGATCCCGCCTGCTCCCGCCAGGTTTTAGCCCGAACCCAACCGCTCCCACTTATATTAAAAATATGTTGCCCCGGTGCCCGACCCGCCCCGTTTTCTGCCCGCCGCGCCCGATCCCGATAAAGAGCGGGGGAGAACAAAACCGAAAATCACCCAGCCGTACAGTCCAGCCAAGCTGTCTGTATAAACACACACACACAGACAAAGCTCTCTCTCTCTTTCATACGCGCGCGCGTACTAACACACACACACAAGCACCAAGCAGACACACAGGCGTTTGCTGTTATATCAACTCAAAGTTTTGTAATACCATGTATCAATGACCAATGTAATACCAAAAGGTTTTATATATAAATACTGAGTCGCGCCAGCTCTGGGCCGCAGCGCACATTACTCTCGGGCCGATTGATTCGGCCGCCGCATCTGGCCCGATAGATTCAGGCCGGAATCGGGCAGTGAGTCCACAAGAGTCCGGCAGCCAGAGCCGGGCCGAGTGGTAAGTCTCCGGCAGGCGAGAATCTAGCCGCCACTGGCCCGAGTGTATTTTGCTATTTGGGAAAGCTCTCTCTCTCTCTCATTCACGTGCGCACTAACATACACACACACAGGCAAATCTCTCTCTCTCTCTCTCATTCGCATAGCAATATCCGCAATATTGCTAAACAGCCTGCTCCCGTCCCAAATTAAACCCGTTACCGACCGCTCCCGCGATTTATTTGGAAATTTGCAGACCTCTTAACTGAGGCTACAATTGGCACAGGCTCACCAAAACTGGACAATAAAAGATTAGAGAGAAACGTTGTCTGGTCTGATGAATCTTCATTTCTGCTGCAACATTCAGATGGTCGAGTCAGAATTTGGCATCAACAGCATGAAAGCATGGATCCATTCTCCTTGTATCATCGGTTCAAGCTGGTGGTGGTGGTGTAATGGTGTGGTTGGCTCACTTTTGGGCTCATTAGTTCCAGTTGAGCATCGTGTCATCGCCACAGCCTCCCTGAGTATAGTTGCTGACGATGTTCATCCCTTTATGACCACAGTGTACTCATCTTCTGATGGCTACTTCCAGCAGGATAGCACACCATGTCATAAAGCGTGAATCATCTCAGACTGGTTTCTTGAACATGACAATGTACTCACTGTACTCAAATGGTCTCCACAGTCACCAGACCTCAATCCAATAGAGCACGTTTGGGATGTGGTGGAACAGGAGATTCGCATCATGAATGTGCCGCTGACAAATCTGCAGCAACTGTCTGATGCTATAAAGTCAATATTGAGCAAAATCTCTGAGGAATATTTCCAGCATCTTGTTAATTCTATGCCACAAAGGATTAAGGCAGTTCTGAAGGAAAAAGCGGGTCCAACCCGGTACTATTAATGTGTACCTAATAAAGTTGCCGGAGAGTGCATGTACAGTGGTGATGTGTCATGGGTTAAGGTGCTCACACAATGTAGAAGTACACATTGGTGACAGGTTTACTTTTAGCAATAAAGGTACAACTCGTGCATCCTACAAATATAAAGAATTTCATATTTGAAGTGTGATCAACTTTGAAGATGTTTGCTTCACGTTTCTCTTACTCATTTTATTTAATTTGATAACATGCTATTTGTCAAGTCTGATCAGCTTTGGCTCTTTCTGCAAAGTTCAGCTTCAACCTGAATGAAACTAACCTGCCTGTGAACTTTAAGTAATCCTGAAAACCTTATTAAAAGTTTTCTTTATTTTGTTGATTATAGTTTTTGCAGCATTGTGTTTAAAAGAGTTTCAATTTGAGTTCATTTTGAATGTGTTTTGTTAAAAGTTAACCTGGAATCCTGATGTTGTTTAACCTGTTTCATCACACACCTAAATAACATCAGAAGCTCCGCAAGGCCCGTGCAGAGACCGTCCAAAGGGCATGTGCAGGATAAATTTTTTGAAGAGTGGGGGGGGGTTGTCGCGCGCGTTCTGATCAGCTGTGTTGTCGCGCGCGTACTCGGGCGGTGTTGTCGCGCACCTACTGAAGAGCGGGACCGAGGGTATGTCGCGTCGCGGGGGCACTTTTGATCATTTTGGAAGGGCACATTCTATCCAAGACTAAAAAGGGCATGTGCAGTGCACAGGTTGAGCCCTATGTGTGCACGTGCCTGAGCTCCGCCCTTTTACAACTTTGATCAGGAAGAGACTGACTTATTATTGCTGCTTTCTGTCACACTGACTCTCTTCATTTCTGTACTGGATTTTAATAATGAGAGATCATTGGAGAATGAAGACAATCACAACAAACACTTTCAAGAAGCATTTTTGAGATGTTTATTTCTGAATAGGCAGCAGATCAGCAGAGTCATTTTTAACACGTCATTCAGAAAGTGAAAGTCAGGTTCAGATTACTGCAGCTCAAACAGGGGAAATGGCTTCACTAAATGTGTCTGCAGAAGAACTTTCTTGTCCCGTGTGCTGTGAAATCTTCAGGAATCCTGTAGTTTTATCATGCAGTCACAGTGTGTGTAAAGAGTGTCTTCAACAGTTCTGGAGAACCAAGACAACTCAGGAGTGTCCTGTTTGCCGGAAATCTTCAAGAGATGATCCTCCATGTAATCTAGTGTTAAAAAACCTGTGTGAGTTGTTCCTGAAGGACAGAAATGAGAGATGTTCATCGGGATCTGAGGAGATCTGCAGTTTACACAGTGAGAAACTCAAACTCTTCTGTCTAGAGGACAAACAGCCTGTGTGTTTAGTGTGCAGAGACTCCAAACAACACGACAATCACAAATTCAGACCCATCAGTGAAGTGGTTTCTTCATATAAGGTAAGACAATTGAAGTATTTGGTCATGAACACAGATATCAGTTAAATCAGATATCATTCTTCTTTGCAGAACAGCTTTAGTTTGTCAACATTAATATAACATTCACACTTTATAATATGTGGCCTTAACCAATGTGTACTTACGCTGAAAATAATAATTTGTTACAATGTAGCTACTTATTGTGTAAATACACGGTTTTACATTGTACTTTTGCTTGATTAAAAACGTACATACAATTACACGATTCACCATCCTTCCATACCACCACAACCTTACCCCTATCCCACCTTAAGAGCACCAGAAGTGTGCTGCAATACACACAAAATCAGAAAACTTTGGCACAGTGTGGAAAACGCAAATAAAAATTGAAAGTAGTTCCTAAACTTTTCTGTATTTCTAAACATACTTTGACTTGTAATTCTCTGCAGACAATACAACAAATATTACTTAATGTGTTCCTCATGATTTTGTGTTGTTTTTTTGTTTGTTTGTTTGTTTGTTTGTTTGTTTGTTTGTTTGTTTGTTTGTTTGTTTGTTTAATAAATACATTATTGTGTTCCTCATGATTTTGTTTTGTTGTTTGTTAGTTTGTTTTTTAATAAATAAATTATTGTGTTCCTCATGATTTTGTGCTGTTGTTTTTTTGTTTGTTTGTTTGTTTGTTTGTTTAATAAATACATTATTGTGTTCCTCATGATTTTGTTTTGTTGTTTGTTAGTTTGTTTTTTAATAAATACATTATTGTGTTACTGATGATTTTGTGCTGTTGTTTTTTTGTTTGTTTGTTTGTTTGTTTTTTTAATAAATACATTATTGTGTTCCTCATGATTTTGTTTTGTTTTTTGTTTGTTTGTTTGTTTGTTTAATAAATACCTTATTGTGTTCCTCATGATTTTGTGTTGTTGTTTTTTGTTTGTTTGTTTTTTAATAAATACATTATTGTGTTCCTCATGATTTTGTTTTGTTGTTTTTTGTTTGTTTGTTTGTTTGTTTGTTTTTTAATAAATACATTATTGTGTTCCTCATGATTTTGTGTTGTTGTTTTTTGTTTGTTTGTTTGTTTGTTTGTTTTTTTAATAAATACATTATTGTGTTCCTCATGATTTTGTGTTGTTTATTATTTGTTTGTTTGTATTTTTAATAAATACATTATTGTGTTCCTCATGATTGTGTTTTGTTGTTTTTTTTGTTTGTTTGTTTGTTTGTTTGTTTGTTTGTTTGTTTGTTTGTTTGTTTGTTTTTTTTATAAATACATTATTGTGTTCCTCATGATTTTTTGTTGTTGTTTATTTTTATAAATACATTATTGTGTTCCTCATGATTTTGTGTTGTTGTTTTTTTTTTGTTTGTTTGTTTGTTTGTTTTTTTATAAATACATTACTGTGTTCCTTGTGATTTTGTTGTGTTTTTTTGTTTGTTTGTTTAATAAATACATATTTTAATTTGGTTGTTGCTACACATTTCAGAAAAATTTGGATCAGTAAAGCATTTATCACTTTGTTATGTTGCCATTCCTTTTCACAACACTTTAAAGACATTTAGGGATGTTAGTGTTTCAGGTGTCATTTTGTCCCATTCTTCCTGCAAACAAGTCTTAAAGTGGGCAGCAGTACAGGGTCTTTGTTATCACATTTTGTGCTTTCACATTCTCTATAGGAGACAGGTCGGAACTGCAGACAGGCCACTCAAGTACCTGTATCCCCTTCCTCCACAGCCAGGACTTTGTAATGTGTGCAGAATGTGGTTTGTATTGTCTTGTTGAAATATGCATGGGCGTCCTTGGAAAAGAAAGCAGCCTATTGTGCTCCAAGTGATGTTTGTAAACAAATTTCGGGAGGAGCATGCGCAGAAGTTTCAGTATCGAATACGTCATTGACAATTATTCCATCATCAAATCAGTTTCTGAGCAACCCCTATATATACCAAAGCTGTCTTACCTGCTGCATCTCACGACTTTAGCATCCCTCCACCACCCCGTCACCTCACCACTTGCATCGCATTCCCGGGGGGAGCGTTCTGGGGCCGGGCTGGATACTTCGCTTGAATCCCAACTCCTCTTTGTTTCCTGATAAGGGGAATAACCCGAGTTGGGGTGTCTCCTCGAGCTCAGAGCCCTCCCCCCGGACAGCACGCCAAATATGCTTTATACTTAAATGAATGCAAGTGTGAACTCGTGAAAATCTCTATGTACTTTTCAGCATTAATGCTGCATCCAAGAAGTGCAAGTTACTGTTGCCAAGGGCACTGACACAAACCCATACCATGACAGACTCTGGCTTTTGGACTTGTTGCTGGTCACAGTTTAGATAATCTAGATCTTTTCTTCTTTGATCTAGAGAACATGGTATCTAATTCTCTCAAAAAATACCTGAAATACTGATTCTTCTGACCACAGTACATGTTTCCACTGTGTCATGGTCCATCCCAGATGCCTCAGAGCCCAGAAACGTCAACGACACTTATGGACACTGTTAACATAGGGCTTAATTTTTGCACAGTACAGTTTTAACTGGAGTTTGTGGATGTAACTATGTTTTGTGGTACTTGACAAAGGTTTGCCAAAGTAGTCCGGAGCCCATGCGGTGATATGGCTTATAGATGAATGAGGATTCTTGATGCAATGCCGCATGAGGAATCGGAGATCATGATAGTTCAGCTTAGACTTGCGCCCTTGTCTTTACACACTGAAATTGCTCAAGATTCCTTGAATCATTTACTTATGTTATGCACCGTTGAAGGTGAAATATCCAAAGGTCTTCCTATCATTGAGGAACATTCAATAATGTTTTCATGCATCTGTTGGCAAACTGGTGACCATGCGTTGCAAGAACTAAAATTGGAATATGTGTTTATTTACAAAACATCATGAGGAACACATTAAATGTTTGTTATATTGTCTGCAATAAAATAGTTTAAAAGTTCAATTAAAAAAAGTAAAAAAAAAAAAAAAAGAAATCACAACTTTTTTGTTTGCATTTTCAATATTGTCCCAACTTTTCTAATTTGGGGTAGTATATTTTTGATGTAAGTACATAGTTGTTAAGGCCACTAAATATAAAGTGGGACCGTAGATTTTAATTTCTGAATCGGTTTGGTTGAAGATGCCCACATAAATACTGTATATCAGAGCTCTAAATGATCGTCACTTATTGTTTTATTCACAGTATTTTGATGTTCTATTTTTGTTTTTATTTGTTCAACTCTAGGAGGCACTCAATACAGCACTGAAGTCTTTACAAAAGAAACTCAAACACAATGAAAAAATGATAGTAGAGTTTGAGAAAACATTTCAACACATCAAGGTGAGAAACAGAATCAAGACTGCTGGAGAATTTTTATATTTAATATAATGCGTTCCAGTGAATTATTTTTGTTAATGACTAGCATCAGTCAGCTTTAAAAATAATATATATATATATATATATATATATATATATATATATATATATATATATATATATATATGATGTTGATGTGTGTTGATTATTAAACATGTCTGTGGTTTACTGTGATTTGCTTTCAGTCTCAAGTTGATCACACAGAGCGTCAGATTAAACATGAGTTTGAGAAGCTTCATCAGTTTCTCCGAGATGAAGAAGAAGCTACAATCACTGCACTGAGGGAGGAAGAGGAGCAGAAGAAGCAGATGATGAAGGAGAAGCTGGAGGAGATGAACACACACATCTCAGCTCTTTCACACACGATCAAAGACACGGAGGAGATGCTGAAAGCCAATGACGTCTGCTTTCTAAAGGTCTGATTTCAGATCAGTGATTGATTGATTGATGATGGATTGAGCTCTTGATGATCAGTTGTGTGTTTGTTCTGCAGGAGTTTCCAGTCTCGATGGAAAGGTGAGTGATCTGCTGGTGTCTCTGCTCTCTCTGCTTCTGAATCCTGCAGTTCTGACTCCTGAATGTTCTTCCAGAGTCCAGATCTCACAGCCGGATCCACAGACGCCTTCTGGAGCTTTGATTCATGTGTCTCGCTACTTGGGGAACCTGCCGTTCAGAGTCTGGAAGAAGATGCAGGACATTGTCTACTATTGTGAGTCTGTTCTGTTTTAGTTTGTAGTGAAATACCGTTTAGTTTGTTGTAAATGACAATCATAATACACAATATTTTCAACCGTTTATTCAGGGCCGGGTCACAGCAGCAGTCTATATAATAGAAATGCTTTCTCATGTAGATCATGCCTCTATATTTGGGTAATGCTTCTCATTTCTTCATCTACTGAACTCCACAAGAGAATAAACCATGTCAAGTGTAACTATACAAATGTTTAATAATAAACACGTTCATATAAATTCTAAATCTGTATTGCAGGGGTGGCCAATCCTGTTCCTGCAGAGCCAACTTCCAGCAGATGTCAGTTGCTACCCATATCAAACACACCTGCCTGTAATTATCAAGTGGTGTTCAGGCCCTAATTAATTGGTTCAGGTGTGTTTGATATGGGTATCAACTGAAATCTGCCGGAAGATGACTCTCCAGTAACAGGGTTGGCCACCCCTGCTATACTGGCTTTTACAGAGTGATCTTTTTTAGAGGGTTTTCATCAGTTGTTTTTGAAAAAGTGTCTATAAAAGAGCTGCATTTATTAGAAGAACATTGTTTATTCAATGAGTGATTAGTAATTACTTTATCAAAAATAGCAGACATTAAAGGGCACCTATGGTAAAAAATCTACTTTTCAAGCTGTTTGGACAGACATATGTGTAGGTATAGTGTAAAGACCGTCATATCGGGGTGATATAAACACACCGAGCACTTTTTCTTTTCAATTCAACAACATAAATAACGGTGGATCAATTGGAGCGGTTTTCAGACCGACCGCAACTTGACGTAGGAGTGCGGTCCCCCCGTCCACCAATATTGATTGACAGGCACATTCCCATATCCTCAGTTTGTCGTTTCACTTCCGCCATTTTCAGCGCGAGAGTCAAAGTGATATCACTAAAGGAACACCCTTGCTCTATTTTTAGATGTAAGGCTTATTGGGCTCAACACAAGGTCAGCATTCACCACATGATTGCTTTAATCAGAATTATTGTTTGTAACTTTTAGTAGGTTTGCAAACGTGTACTTTTCATTGCGTCTACCTTAAACTTCAGCCGTTTGCATTTCTCGCGAACACAGAAGCTCCCTGTGATCTTAGGTGCAGCTGGAAAAGTGCAAGCACGTTGCCTCATGTGTGCGTCTCTCCATTGGAAATAAAATAAAAACTTGCCTGCAGGTTGCACACCAGAAGCGCCACTCTGCATGAAGCGACGTTGTGCATTTAGGAGTTTTGGGCGTGGGTTTCTGTCGGGGTGCATGCGGGCGGCGCTTTGGGTCAGCGGCTGGGCGCCGTTGTGTTTGTCCTGGTGGAGGCCTGTGTTTGGAGTTCTGGAATGCATGGCACTGCGTGGCATGATGATTCGGGACACATCATGTTTCTACCGCGCCACTGAGAGTCAAAGTTCAGTCAGTCAAAGTTAATTCAGTGTGTGTGGTTATTAGTCTCGGTGTACGAGCTCGGCACCTTAAACTAGTTCACAGTTGGCTGTGAAACTATACAAAGACACAAATGATTTTGTACTTTCTACTTGGTCTGTGTCCGAGTCATACATGTATCCTAGCTTAGCTTCTCTGTGTCTGCCTGTCGCAAACACAGAGCGTGGGAGCTCTTGGCTCCACCCCCTTGTTACGTTGGGTGGGAAGCCGAAACTAATTTACATGTCAATCAACACGCCCCTAAAACAGCGAGCTGTGTACACGCCCCCAACATAACACTTTTGAACACAATAATAAAAACATTTGAACTGTGTGTTGAACTGAACTTAAACTGGCACACTCAGAACAACCATAATATTAATATTAAATCATGAAAAAGAGGTAAACTATGTGCCCTTTAATAGAGGATTTAAAAACACATTCAAACAGTAAGACCGAGTTTAAATGACCTTGATACAATTAATTGATTAAAATGTATCAAATTATTCTCCGCTTAAGAAAATGTGTGTGTAACTAATAACACTGGCATCATTCAGAGAAACATGTCTGAAATGTGACCAACAGTTTGAGTGTCATAATTTCATAATAATCTGTGTTTGTTCACTCTTGATCATGATATGAACATCAGAATAAAAGCAGCTGTTGATTGTGTCTCTTCAGCTCCTGTCATTCTGGATCCAAACACTGCTCATCCACGTCTCGTCCTGTCTGATGATCTGACCAGTATGAGGTACAGTGGGAAAGATCAACCTGTTCCTGATAATCCAGAGAGATTTGACTGCTATTACTGTGTTCTGGGTTCAGAGGGTTTTACCTCAGGAAAACACTGCTGGAATGTGGAGGTGAAAGAGAGTGAATACTGGAATCTTGGAGTAACAACAGCATCAAACCAGTGGACGGGACGGGTTTTCTATAACACTGGGGTCTGGAGTGTGAAATATAAACAGTCTGCAGGCTCTGGTTTTGTTGTAAATCAGGATCTTGAGCGTGTGAGAGTTGATCTGGACTGTGACAGAGGAACAGTGTCTTTCTCTGATCCTGTAACAAACACACATCTACACACATTCACCACCACCTTCACTGAGTCTGTCTTTCCTTTCTTCTATAGTCTTGGTTCTCTAAAGATTTTACCGTATGTAACTGGTTTTATTTTTAGAACTTTGTAGTGAGACACTAAGAGCAAGAAACACCTACTGGCGTCAGCACATTTTTATTTATTTATTTTTTTTGCGTACACCTGTGCAGCTCATTATTGGGAGTGTGTGGATATTCAACCATTTAAAAGCATCTGTGTGAGTATTGAATGCGACTTCTCCAGTGCAGATGAAGCCTCTGTGGTCAGAGAACGTTTCCTTTAGTCCCCGGTTGGCCTGGTTGGTGAGTTGTTTGCTTGTAGTACTACGTTAGTTTTAAGTGATCGTCTAAAAAAATGCTGTGATCATTAGGAAATTGTTTGTGTGTGCAAGGTGACAGGCAGTGGTGGAAAGAGTACTGAAAAAGCATGCTTAAGTAAAAGTACCATTACTTGCCTAATAAATGTAGTGTAAGTAGAGTAAAAGTATCTGTTGTAAAACTTTGTCAAAGTAGCCCTTTCTACAGTACTCAAGAGTAGTGAGTAGTGGGTATTACACTGTGAAAAGCTGATGGGTTTACATGTAATTTGTGCATGTGTGTTTAAATGTAACATTCTGTAGTGCATTTAGTTATTGCCCAGCAGACACACAACGTCATAGGTCACTAACATTAAGTTAGATTTAGGTTGTAATGTCAGGTGATTACAATCAATGAGACACGCGGCTGTGCTGATGAAGGGAATCTGAAGTGAATCGCTTTACTTCATTACACACGTGCACACGTTTTAAAACATGTTTAACTTGTAAAACTCACTCTTGATCACGTCTGATGATGATTGATGATCCTAGCGAACTAAATAGACCTTTTGTTCCCGGTTGCTTTGCGCTCGTCCTGTCTTGTCAATATGATTTTATGCATTACTATGGAGACATGTTAATGCGCGCAGCTGTCAATCAATATTGGTGGGCGGGGGGACCGCACTCCTACGTAAAGTTGTGGTTGATCTGAAAACCGCTCCAATTGGTCCACCGTTTCTATGTTGTTAAGTTTTAAAAAAAGGACTGAGTGTGTTTATTTTACCCCAATATGACAGTATATACACTATACCTACACACGTCTGTCCAAACAGCTTTAAAAGTAGATTTTTCACCATAGGTGCCCTTTAAGGCCATTTCTGTCATCATACAGTTAACATTCGTCATCTTCTCAACAGTGACCTGCATCTATACAGTCTCTGGGTCAATGTGTGTAAAGATTGTGGACGTCTTCTTAGACAATTTAAATGCTTCCAAACAGTTTGTTACATTTATAAAGTGCACATATCTTGAGGTAGTTCATTATGATGCTATTTACCTTCTATGTGTGATTTGATTGGACAGGAATTAAAGGGCTAATTTTTCAAATCCTCAGACAAGAAATATTAAAGTAGTAACTGCAGGTTGAAGGAAAGTAGAGGAGTAAAAGTACCGATATTGCACTAAAAATGTACTCTAGGAAAAGTAAAAGTATACATTTATAAAACTACTTAGTAAATTACAATTTCTGAGAAAAACTACTCAATTACTGTAATTTGAGTATTTGTAATTAGTTACTTTACACCACTGGTGACGGGTGCCATTCGCAAAGTCTGCTCTAGCCTTGGTGAGTTGGTTGCTTTTTAGTCTTTCTCAGAAAGTGTGTGTGCACCGTTGGCAAAGTGTGCTCTAGCCTATGAAACTCATCTAGGAGGTAAGAAGTTTGTTTGTGGGTTTTAAAGAAGGGTTTGTTTTTTTAAAAAATCCTTCATCTGTCTTAAATTAGCATTTTCAGGTGCGGCCTGAAGGTGCTAGCTGTTGTTTCGTATCATTTATTTGCGGGCTGCCTTTTAAACCTGTATCAATTGCTGTCCCCTGCTGTGATTGCTCCTCGTGGACATTCCCTTAAATATTATGGTGACACTTTTTTTGTGCACAGTATTTTGAACCTGATTTAACGTCTATATTCAACGTGATCACTACGCTGCATTGTGAATTTTATGTTTTCTGATTTTTGTGCTTGTAAAATTGATGCTGATTTGAAGGGGGTTTGATCAATTTTAAGGGTGTGATTTGTCACTTGCTTTAATCAATTTTATATACGGATTCGCTGTGTGGAATGTCCCCTATTTGCTAGTGTCATTTATTGTGGTCTCTTTGTGCCTGGGCATTTAAGTGGTAATTGTGATGACGCCATTTTAAAACAGTTTTTAATATGGAGTATGCCATGGTGAATTTAATAAATTTAGTGTTTTGTTTTTGTAAGTCATGTCTCTGTCTTTAAAGAACCAGAAGGATCCTTCATATTGTTGTAACTTTTTGTGTTAATCGAACAAGTGCTTTTTATAATATATATTTCTGGGTAGTAACCTAGGTAACGTAATCGGGTTTTATTTTATTATCTTTATATCTTCATAGCCAAGGGTTACACATATAATAGTCAGTGAATGTTACTCCTTTAGGTTTGAATCTTCTTTCATCTTGCTTTCAATATTTATTCCACATTAAGCCCAACTCACACTGTGCATGTTTTTATAATCCTGAACAACTGAATCTTGTCAGACTGCATGAACATAATATTATAATGTTAGACTGAATGACAGTGAATACAAACCAAACTCACACACATGCAAACAAACCCACCAAACCCAGTTTGACGTCATCCATCTGTGACACTTTCACAATCACACATTTTCAAATAAAACCCCACAAAAACATAAACAATCTGCAGCGGTCATTTTTCTCACACCTCAATAATTAAACCAGAAGACATTTCTGACATTTCTCCTCACTGGTTTGAAGTTGTCACACTGATCCCATCGTCATTAGGCATCCTATTGATTCTTGGTTTGGTGCTCATCAGCAGGAACGAGTCTGAAATCTTTGGCTGTTGGTGAACATGTCAAACCAACGATCAAAGACCCCAGAATTTAGTCTAGGATTACAGAAATATTTTTAGGATTGTCCAAAAGGAGAATAAATATCTCCCTCCATCGTCCATTTGCTGTATGTGCCACCGAACTCAACCTATATGGTACACACACTCCTGGTAAATGTCAGAATGACTACAGGACTTAGAATCAGACACATCTCACAAGGACAATGATAACACCACGCAGCCACAACAACCACTGCTCATGGACACATTGCAGCCTGTGCCCTGTACAATGAGCTCTCCTCAGATAGACTGTGACATATCAGAACAGCTTCAAGTCTCAGCACTCAACGATGATCTGCAGGTAAACAGCCTCTGTGCCCACTTTGCACTCCATCTATGAAAGCCCTCTGGCCTTTACCACAGCACCAGGGCCCCGAGAACCCATTTCTGTCAGGGTTCTGCCACTCTGGTCTTGTAAATTCTTGTTTTGGTGGCAGAATCCGGACACTAGTCATGTCTAATCCTGTTGTGCTCGGCTCAAGTTTTCTTGGGTCGAGCACTAGTTTCTGTCTCTGTGTGCGCGCGCCGTCGTGGGTGTACGCAGAGTGTGCGCGATCCCGCTTGATGCGGCCGCGCGGGCTTTGTGTGCCTCGGATGCGCTCTCTTGCACTCGTGTTTGTGTTCGTCTGTCTGCAGCGTGGTGTTTCATTCCCAGCGTCTCAGTCTTGTTGGTTTCGGTTTTGGTCGGCGCTGGGATGAAGCATGCACGCTGCGTGTGTGAGCGCACGGTGAGTGTTTTCATTCATCGTGTGCTCGTGTCTTGCGTCTGTTGTCAAAGCACGTGGCTATATGTTTACATTGTGGTCACGTGCTTTTGTCGTGTGCTTCAGTGTTGTGCTTGTCTTGTCATGAACATGCGGTTAATGAGTTCTCTCATTGGCTGCATGTTCTTGTCCTGTTTTGTGTGAGCGCATGGCTTGTGTTTTCTCTTTGTGTCATGCGCTCTCCCGTCTATTGTCTAGTCCCACCCTCCTTGTTAACTCATTATTAGTTTGTCATGTTCACCTGTTTGTGTCAATTTACTTTTGCTTTATAATCCCCTCATGTTTTCTGTTCTGTGCCAGTTCGTCGTCGTTATTTCCATGTCCTGTGAGATCCAGTCCTGTTTGTCCTGCCAGCCCATCCAAGTTTGTTTGAGTGTTTGTTTTATAGTTATGTTTTTCCCCCTCGGGGTGGTTTTTGTTGTCCTTTTTGTTTTATTTTTATTAATAAATACCATCTTCTGTTGCATTTGAGTCCTCGCTCCCTCATCCTTCCTGAAACCCTGACAATTTCAGGGCAAAACTTTTCCAAACTCATTTAAAACTGCAGTCTTGAAAAAGAGCAACCAGGAAAACACCCTATTGAGCAACTACAAGCCAATCTCAAATCTCCCTTTCATTATCAAAGTCATTTGAAATGTGTTGTTAACCAGGTCAACAAGTTCTTAAACTCTGAGGGATGTTTAGACAATTTTCAATCTGTTTTCAGAGCACATCACAGTATAGAGAGCGCCCTTATAAAGATAATCAATGATATACGCCTAAATACAGATTCAGGCAAACTAACGGTGCTGGTACTGCTCGATCTCAGTGCTGCATTTGACACTGTCGATCACAGCATACTTCTGGATAGGCTGGAAAACTGGGTTGGGCTGTCTGGCACGGTCCTCAAATGGTTCAGATCTTACCTTAAAGAAAGAGGTTACTATGTCAGTATGGGTGACCATAGATCACAGTGGACACCCATGACAGGAAGTTCCACAAGGCTCGATTCTGACACCTCTCCTGTTCAACCTGTATATGTTAAATAATAAGAAATAACCAAAACTCCTACCATAGCTATGCTGATGAAATTCAGATCTACTTAGCCTTATTACCTAATGACTACAGCCCTGTTGACACATTTAACACTAAATGAGCAATTGGATGTGCCAAAACTTTCTTCAGTTAAAGAAAGAGAAAACTGAAGTCATTGCATTTGGGAACAGAGATGAGGTTCTCAAGGTGAATGCGTACCTTGGCTTTAAGGGTCAAACAACAAAAAATATTGTGACTAATCGTTCAGATGTCCAAGACTGATAAAAGGTTTAAAAATCCAGTCCACAATTACTTTTTATATTAAAATATGTCATTTTCTGTTTTGTTTTGTTTTTTTTTACACCAAATCTCTGACATCATTTGTGAATTTTGGCAATTAAAGAGTCAAAATCCTTTAATTTTCGTTAGTTAATTTTTTTATAAAGTTTTTTTTAGATGTTTTTTGTTAAAATTTAAACTAGAATCCTGAAGTTGTTTGACCTGTTTTATCACACACACACAAGGAGATCAGAGATCTGCCCTCTTACAGCTCTGACCAGGAAGAGACTTATTATTTCTGCTTTCTGTCACTCAGACTCTTTTCATTTCTATACAGGCATTAAACACAATTGGAAATCAGCTAAGAATGAAGAGAAACTCCATTCAAGAAGGATTTCTGTGATATTTGTCTCTAAACAGGTGG